AAGATTGTGCTTAGTTATTTTAAAGAAATGGCCAAAATTCTGCTACACCTATGTCATCCATTATTAGGAAAACTACAGATTTAATGATCTTGAGTGGACAACTAAGCCAGCACTACCCAGGAGTTAATGTGCCAAGCAATTCATAGGGGAGACACTTTAGTGGCAGCTTTGCTGTTAAGGACACTGACGCTGCCGAACACCAGCCAATCACAAATGTGCAGGACCACTGCTTCTGATGTCATTAGAAGCACAATAAAGATATTCTTTGAATATACAATCACATTTCATATGGAAAAAAAGGATATATCTTTCAATACAATGAATCCTACAATCTAAAAGGCGACTATAGATACAGTATAGGATCCTAAAGAATCCCTGCCATGACAGACCTTAACCTTTTAGTTAACTATGTCTTAAGTGGGCCCAAGGTCCAGAAGGAGTGTTTGAGGCAGCTCAGGCACTGAATGTGTACGCTAAGGACAGTGGCTGGTAACCAACCTACAAAGCAGTATTTCAAGACTGTATCCACTGGTGAGGCTATACCACTGTGTGCCAGCTGATTACCAGCCCTGATTTTAGTTCAACCTCATCTACTAGACAGCCCTGTACTATTCTTACTCTACATTCTTAATTTTCCTATCATTGAGAACATAATGTGTGGTTCAGCCTCTATTAAAACATCAAAGTTTTAGTATATATGCAATGAATTTTATACCACGTGGCATATCATGCCTTAAAAATTATTTTATTCAATTTTCTTAGTAAACTGACCAGGTTACAGCAATAAAATCCTATGACTTGAGAAGTAAAATTGTATAATAGAGATAATAGGACTTGATCTCAAATCTAGGTTCTCTCACTTTACAGCTGGGCAAGGGAGTGAAAAATAAATGACATAGCAATGCTCCAATTTTTTCAGCTAGAAATTCAGGATTATACTTTACAATAGGATTTTTTGGACAGATTAAATTGGGTAATATATTAGCAGATTAAATCAAACCCACCCTAAAAGGAAGATGGGTATCTACTTAAAGATTTCCATGGCAACACCATTTCTTGCCAAATATTTACCAGGGGTCCATTGTGTAATCTAACCCCTCTTGATGGCATTTTCCCTCCTTCAGTCTTTCTAGATCTTGTGCTTCACAAACTTTACTGTGCACCTAAATCACCTGGAGATCTTTTTAAAATACAGATGCTGATTTTTTTTTTTTTTGGTCTGGAGTGGTACCTGAAATTCTACCTTTCAAACAAACTCTAAGTCTGTTCCCAGACTAGCAACATCAGCATCAAAGGGAAACTTGCCAGATGTGTGAATTTGTAGGTTCACCAGACCCACTAAACCAGGAACTATAAGAATAGGACACAGAATCTGTTTTAACAAGCCCTCCAAGTGAGTTATATGCAGGGTAAAGTTTGAGAACCACTGTTCTAGAGCAAGAGTTCTAAACTCTGGCTTCCCATTAGAATCACCTGGGGAGCATCAGTGTTCAGGTCACCCTCTAGACAAATTGTATCAAAGTTTCTCGGTGCCAAGAGGACATTTGTAGTTTCTAAAACCTCTCATATGTTTCTAATGCCCAGCCAAAGTTGAGAACCGTTGCTTTAAAATGAGAAAAAAAGCTGCTATCTTAATAGCATATCCCATGTCTATTTGATAAGTCATTTAGATTTACTTCATTTGGTTTAAATTTTAATTTTCAGTTACCCATTTTGCCTCGCTTATAAAACAGCTGATTATTTTTTCCTTTGCTCTAACATTATTCTATCTAAATTTTGGTACTAAATCCTAGAAAAATATCATCAATTTTGAGAATAATGGATATGTGTTAAATATTTGCTAGATTAAAAATGCATAGAAAAACTCAGATTTCTGACATGCCCTATTCCTAATTACGGACCCTCAATTTGTTGTTTTTACAACAAGGCACTGCTAATTCAGCTTAACTTCTTGTTTACCAGAAACAGACAGTTGAAATTAATTCTCGATTTTACTAAACACACTAGGTTTGAGGTTAACCACAGGAAAATATTAAGGTTTCTTTGGCATTCTTAGAATTCCTGTGAAATTAATCACCCAGAGCCATAACTTTGATTCTTTGTGAAGTCTAGGTAGAGCACCAGTCAGCCTTATAAAGCAAGAGCAAGCAGCGCAGCTTCATTCTGACAATTACAAGTTCTTTCAGGATGTAGTGTTTCCTCTCCTCAGCCTGGAGTAGAAACCACGGTGCAAAACGGGAATATTTGGACATTCTGACATTGCTTAAACCATTTAATCTCTGTGTGAATTCCCAGGTCAGACACATTTAAAACATAAGAAAGAACATCACGATTTGGAGATTATTCAAAGCAATCCTCACTCCCTTGACAACTGAATTACTGCCCCTACCCCTTCTTCCCTTCCTGTGCAAAACTCTGTGTCTCTATGAGGATTTATCTTCTGTCACGGGGTGGACCCAATCTTTCTCTTAATAGCAGAAAGCTTTTATTTCTATATTAGCCACTGGCATCATTCTAGAAAACTAGAATACTGATTCTAAAACTAATGCCAATTCTAGAACATTCACTCAGGTATTGCAACATCCTGGGGACTGTTCTAAGCACTTTATGAACATTTTCTTATTAAATTCTCACAATCCTCATATACTCAAATATAACATCCTTCTGGATGCCTTATCTGACTGATACAAGAAGGTATTCCTTACTCTCTGTCTTGTTAAATTCGTTTATTTTCTGTGTTAGGCTGTGATATTATATTATTTATCATTTTTTGTCTCCTCCATTACAATGGAAGCTCCATGAATATAGGAGCTTTGTTTTTACTTCAGTGCCAGAAGAAAGCCAGGTGTATAGTTGTAACTCAGAAAATCCTGAATGAATAAATACATGAGAAAAAATACACTTGACAGCCAAATGTGACAAAGTCTAAGAAAGGAAACAAAATAAAAAGCCAAGCATGTTAGCCCCAAGAGAACTCACAGTATGAAAGAGTCTTACAAAGTAAAAGAAAGCCAAAAAAAATGAAGAAAGCAATGTTTTATTTTTAATTGGGCCCATGGGTTTCAATATGGACAAACCAGATGCAAATAAGGGCTTCAACTTAGGGCAAATATCCTACTACACTGACCTCCATCAGGGAATGGCCCTGTACTTATCCAAAATCTTGAGCACAGTACACATATAGGTTGCCTACAATAAATATAAACTAATAGATTAAAAACAATAAAGGAGTCCAATTTATTTCATAGAAATTCTGAAGTGTAAGGTAAGCCCTTAAGGAATTTCTTCCTGGAAGAGCTCATTTATCACAATGAGATCAGAGGTGGAATGTCTAAACAGAGAAAGGTAAGGAAAGTCTTGGAGAGTTGAGAAGAGAAGGAGGATCTGGTCATGTTCCCAATGGGAAACTAGATAAGGAGTTAACAAGGCACCAGAAGAAGGATTTGTCACTATTAAGGTTCCAGGGAATGCTCATGATCTTGGTTCCTTATTTATCTGGATGCATGGAAAAGCCTTTTGCTGCCCATCTATGATTTGTAAAGTTTCTAAATTAGTTCCAACATCTCTACTTTATCACAAACCAGCTAAGGATTGAAATGGAGTTTTGTACAAGGTAAGTTACTAGGAAGATATTTAGAAAAAAGGTGAGGAGTTCCAGGTAAGAGCAAACAACTCTCAAGGCTGGGAAACACGCGCACACACGAGTGCGCACACACACATCAAAAAGAAAATAAAACCATCAAATGCATCATCCTTAAACTCTCTAAAGAATATTTTCAAGTCTTCTTATCATCCTGCTTGCTGACCAGACTTCAACACATTGACACAATGAAGTCTGTTCATGCCTTCTCTGAGGCAATTTTACCACTAGTCCCAGAAGCCATCTAGTTTACATAGTATTTAGTGAAACTATTTCTTTTTTCACTCTGTTAATGTGGCCTGAACCTGCATTAGCTTTAAGATAATTGTGGATAAGATATTCATGAATTTTATTGGTGACCTAAAAGGTACACACCACACAGTGCTTTGGGCAAAGTGTGAATTTGTTGAATGGAGTGAAATACAATTCCACTTTTTGAAAAAGGTCAGTAATATAGAAAAAGACAGAATGGCTTCTAGGACAGAGGCACAGAGTTAGGTGCTTGAAAGCAGCCTAAAGCAATGTCATTAAATTTTTGCATCTTGTCCTGGAGATGACCACACTTTGCCTATAATGCAACATTCGTATACTATCTTTCTCTCTCACTTCTAATTCTGAACACATACATCAGTTTTTGACTACAAATATACAAAATAATAACAACCCAACTAAAAGTTAATAAATGAACACATAGAGAACATACACCGACACCAATTTGGTGTAGATTTCACTCTAATGTTACTTCTCACTGTAAACCTTTTTAACAAACTGTATAGTTCTATACTTTAGCCTCTTGTCATTTGGTTAGTCAAATCATCTCAGAGTATATCGTAACAAAAATGGTATTTCTGGTCCGTAAAGCATCCAGAAACATGGTTTTACCAAAGTGTATTTGAATTTCCCTGACCCTGTTAAAGCAACAGGTAGCAAAGCCATGTTGTGGGGAAATCATTATGCTGATTAACTTTCAATTAATACTTATTCAGCATTTCCTTTGCATTAGTTCTTGTCCAATTACTCCATAATTATTAACTCATTGAACTGCTCATGATGACACATGAGATAGCTTTTCCTATTATCTCCATTTCATGGATAAGGAAACTGAAAGGCTTAAAAGTAAAGTTATTAAAACCAGAATTTGACCCCAGCCAGTAAGGCTCCATACTAGTATATGCTGGTAATCACTATTACACTGTTTCTTGTGAGAGCAAACTTGCATTTGGAACTTTAAAAAAACTTTATGACCAAAGTCATGACATTAGATGTCTTTCTCTCCTTTTAACATTTTACAATGGTGCAGGATATAAACCTATTATTCTTCAATGTCAGATATAAAGGAATCTATATTTAAATATCTTACAAGTTATTTCTGTCATCACAGAAAAGAAGATTGGTGAAAAGTGACACAGGTTTAGATGATTTGAAGCTGAGGCGGCAGGTGAGCATATCATTAATTCCACTGGGAGAGCCTGTGATGACTCTGTCTTTTGGAAACTTCACAGAAAGAGGATGAATTTCATCACCATCAAGAAGCCTGGCTGCGGGAATCTGAACATGTAGAGTTGAACTTCTGTTTAAAATTAAAAAAAAAAAAATAGCTCAAAATATCTGCAAGTAATTGGATTTAAACGTGTAGTTCTTTGTTTTTGAATCATAAGAAAAATTAAAACAACAAATATTTGTAATATTATGCCCAATTATTATAGACATTTTTGTGACATCTCTTATTTTCTGGTAATAATATAAGTAAGATTGATAATATATTAATTCAACCAAGAACCACTTGAGATGACAAAATGTTCCATTTGGTCTATAAGGATTAAAAAAGAGAGGTATAACACATGATTAAATATACTTTCCTTTTAACTATACCATGATATATACATTACTGTTTATAAATATATTCTGACAAGAATTTATCAAAAATTATAATTTTAAAAGCTATAAGCTTAATGAATGTATATTAAATAATATTAATAGATGCATATATATGTAGAAATTGTTTTAAATTTGGAATATACTATTAAGCACTTATATGCATATATCATGAACATTTTTTTAATTATTATATTCAAAAATTCCACTGAATGTTCACATATTTCATTATACATCTGTAAGTTATGTAGCTAATCTAAAATGTTTCTTATTTTTAATAATACAATATGTAGTATTCACTTTAAGATTGAATTACTGCTTACAATTTTAATGATCAAAAATATTTAACCATATTATTTTATTTTATGAGATATGTAGGAACCTATGGCAAATAAGTGTTATCAAATGGGAATTATATTTCCCTAGTATTTTAATCAGAATGAGGATTATTTAGCTCATTAATGAGAAAAAGTAAAGAAAGATCTCAGCTTGGATTAAACTTATATAGCACATTGGATAAGAGCATGGAAAAGTAATATATAAATCCAGCTTGAAATAATTCAGTTGATAATTAGCTAAATGTCACTGAATAAGTCATTAATGCTGTAAATTTTATTGCATATATATAACAAGAATTGAGTTGCATCATCTCTTCAGTCCCTTTCATATATTCATTTCATTATACTATATTTTTCAAGACTCAACTTTTTTATATTAAATCCTTTTTATTTTCATTTTTTATAGTTTACATACTTTTTAATGTACTTTTCACATGTATTATCTAGATTAAACCTATGATAATGATGTATGAAATTTAGAATTATTTACAATGAATCTAAATGTAATGAATATTCTAAAATGTTCATAGCCTTAGATTATTTTTGTTTCTGATTTTTCAATAAATTGATACCTTTATACTTTAATTTAAAAGTTGAAAGATTAAAAGCTTATTTGTAAATTACAAAACCTTTCTTGATTTAAAAAAAACCTTTCTAGCACAATATAATTCAAGCCACTATTATTTCCTGTTTAAATAACAGAGAATAGTGTCTACTTACAAGATAAGGTCTTAAAAGTATAGCAAATCCCAAAGTTATGTTAATGTGGAAGAACTACACTTCCTCACAAACTGAATAATGTTAAGAGCAAGCCTCATGGTATCAGTAAGCACCCGTATCTTACAAACCAAGTGTATTAGAAACTAAAGTTTGTACTGTACTATGTTCTTCAACTTGGATAATTTAATTTATTGTCAATCATTATGCCACACTTGGATCTAGTTAGAACTCTGGATCTCAGAGTAATAACTGAAAAATAAAGATTGAACTAGAGAAGCTCTGAAGTGGGTACTAGATCTAATGGTCTACAAAATTAATTCTTGTGGGAAATTCACATTGGTATACAAACCCTCACAATCTATATAATTTTAACATGTCAGCTAGCTACCCTTTATTTTTATTTTTTTATATTTATAGATAAGTATCTTTCTAAATAATGTTTCACTTTATCATTGTTTTTATTTTATATAAAGGATATTAATATCTGTAGTATTCCTTGCCTTGTTTTTTTGAAGTTTTATCTCAATATTTTATTTCTAAGATTCCTAACACTGTTGTCTCATTAGCTGAAATTCACTGACTTTATAACTATAGAATATTCATGCGCACATATATCATAAATTACTTATCCCTTCACCTGTCACAGGAATTTTGTGCCATTTTTAGATACTGCTATTCTGAAAAATACTACTATGAATAATCTTAAACATACCTCATAGTACCCATGTGCAAGAGTTTTTCTACACTATGTTGTGAATGAAATTGTGATATATGCAAATGTTACACTTTACTCACTATTACCCGATGTGGTCATACTCATTAACGCTATGACTAGTTACCTGACCTCTTAATTTTTGCCTACCTAGAATGCTATCCTATTGTAGTCTTTAATTTTCATTTTCAAATTTCCAGAAAGGTCAATTATATGTTTTACTATGTTTATTTTCCATTGATGACTCCTTGTCTGTGAAATACCTATTGAAGCTTTTTGTCCACATTTCTATTTAGTTGATATTTTTCTGAGTAACCTTTATCGGTCATTTATTTTATTGTTAGCATGATTTTATGTCCTGTTTAAGAAATCCTTCCCCCAAATTTTTAACGAATATGGTGGACAAGAGACACCACCAGCCAAAGTATCTCAGTAAGGAGAAGTTTTAGATGAAAGAGAAAAATTGAATAAACAGGCAAACATAGAGCAGATGTGGGGTCTGAAAGAAGGGTGCCAGAAATTTCAGGAGACTCCATGGGAAGAAGTTGAGCAGACTGGAAGGAGAAAGATACCCGGAGAGATTAACCCCTGAGAGGCTTGGACTCCAGTAAAAAGGGTAGGTGGAGCAGTTTGTTTCTCCCTCCCTCACATTCCCAACAATTAATGGGTTCCTGAGCTGCTGGAGAGACTTTCTATCAACACAAGCCCAGAGACTGCTGCCAGCCAGTGAGCAGAGAGCTTCCTGTGGACAGGACACCAAGTGCCCACCCCCCTGGAGCTCTTCTCACCCAACAAACCCAAGTCTGGACGGCAGGTGTCATATTGCTTCTCTACACACTATGCGCCTTTGTCCTCCCCAGGGGGTTTCAACTCCTCAGGTTCTGCCTTGATTGTTCCCACACAGACATTTCTCAACTCCGGCCCAGACTACTGGAGCCACAGAGGTCCAGTGGGTCTGCGGTGATCTGCGTGGTTCCAGAGACTGGTCATTCTGGGTGGACTGCCTCCCAAAGAGAGGGATGGACATGACCAGAATGCTAGCTTTCCTCCATCCCGACTCTTTTTTTCTCCTTCCTCTCCCCCCTGCACAGTGTGGAAGAGAGACAAGTGAGCTGCCAGACTGGGGCTTCCACAGAGAGGAGGGCTCAGATCTTTCATTTTGGGGACCTACAGTGGACTAAGGGGTGCTCGGACCATCAGTTCCCGGCCTACTGGCCCTGCCTGATGCTGCTTGCCAGGCGACCCCATCAGATTGGGGCACGTCCTGAAGTAGAGGGACATTAAACTTGGACACCCCATGGGCAACTCAGAACCAGTGTGCTTTTCCCCAGCATGGTCAGGAATTAATCTCTGGGACATGTGGGTGGGACCTCAGGCCAGATCCCATACCCCGAGATCTCAATTGTGTTGCCAGAAGGAACAGAGGGGATATTTGTGAATTAGTCTCCGAAGGCATGGGCGCATGCTGCGGCAGATCAGGGAGTAGAGCACAGTGTGGATCCTAGCTGCAGCATGCTCATGGGGCACACCTCCTACCACAGGAGGGCTACACTCCCTGCTAAGGCCAAGATCCTGAGCAGGGAAACTCCAGGCTCATATCACAGTCACAGGAGAGCTTGGCTAGCTTGAGGTCCTGCCAATGCCAGGGGGAAACCCCAGAATAGTGGGGATGGAGAGGAGCAGAGGCCTGCTCCCAACTGCCAGATTGTGGGTCTTAGCCCCGCCTCCACAGGCAGACTTTCTGGTTTAGTAGGGCCACTTAAGCCCTTCCCTGGTGGTTTTTCCCAGAGGCAGGGAGCAGACCTTTGACCTCTGCTGCAGCAGATCCCTTGCCAGCTTTTGTGGAGCTGGAGGGCAAGTTCACCCAGCCCAGCCCCACCCAGTCTCACTCCCTGACCTGCTTCTGCTGTGAAGGAGAATAAAGACTCACCTGGAAGTTTCATGGCCCCCCCCACCACCCGGAACAAAGGAGCACTTCTCCTGAGGGACTAGAGCTGGTCACAGGACCCCAAAACAACATTGCAGCTTGTTCCTTCCTGCAAGCACCACCTACTGACAGGGATATCAGTTTGCACATTCTTTACAGCATTTACTAACTCAATCATACAGGGCATGGTTGATTCTCACCCACAAGCACCAACTACCATCTCAGAGATTAAACTGGGCATGCCATTATCTAAACAAAAGAAAATTCAAAAGTAAGAAGCAACAGCTGCTCCAGATTAGAAGGAATCAGCGAAAGAACTCCAAAAGTATTAAGAATAAAAGCAAAAGGACACCTTCAAAAGGGAACACCAGCTCTCTAGCAATGGATATCAACCAAAATCAGAATATTGAAAACACTGATGAAGAATTTCGAACATGCATTGTAAAAAAAGTCATTGTATCAAAAAAAACACTTGCACTCGAATGTTTATTGCAGCACAATTCACAATCGCAAAGATGTGGAATCAACGCAAGTGCCCATCAGTACATGGATGGATTAATAAAATGTGGTGTATGCAAACCATGGAGTACTACTCAGCCATAAAAAATGGTGAACTAATACTTTTTGTAACAACCTGGATGGAAATGGGGACCATTCTTCTAAATGAAATATCACAAGAATAGAAAAACCACCACCACATGTACTCACTATTAAACTGGAACGAATCAATCAACACTTATATGCACATATGGAAATAAATCTCAACGGAAATCAAGCAGGTGGGGGGGGGAGGAGTCGGGTAAATTCATACCTAACAGGTACAATGCACACTATCTGGGTGACGGGCATACTTATAACATTGATTCCACGTGCGCAAAAGTAAGGCATTCATTTTTACACCCGTAATATTCTGAAATTTAAAAAAAAAATTAAAAAAGAAATCCTTCTCTACCCACAGCAATTTAAAATGTCTTCTAGATTTATTTTTTACATTTTGC